TATGGATTTTCCATTCACTTGATGTTCCTTCATAACAAGTTATTGCCCTAACTTGTTGGGGTAGAGGGCAATAAAATCATGTGTGGTTATCTAGCCATTTTCCTGCAACAATCACAGGATAGGTTACAACTATGACCTCAGCAAACACGTACTAGGCACAAGGGGAGCCTGGTATAAAAATTGTATCCCTCCTGAAAACCAGTACAAAGGAGCTGCTTTTATTATGGCAGAAATGCATTCCCATTTTTCAAGACCTGAGTAGTCATTCAAACATAGCACTTCACATTTTTGTTATTAACAGTAGCACAATAAGTGGAATACTTCATGATTGACTAATAATAATGATATTTAGATAGGTTTTAATTCTACGTCTTCAACCCAGAGGGCTTGCAGTTCCAATCTTCCATATATTACCGGCACTTAAACTCAATGTGACAACAGTGAGATTAATTATCTCATTTCCTTCCACAATCCATTTATTCTCTCATTTCCCATCTTAGTAAATGAGACCCCCTTCCAGACAGTTGTTCAAATTTGAAGGGAAAAAAAGGATTGCAGAAGGGAGGAAAGAAAAAAAGCAAATTTGATAACTCAGTGTTCCCTCACATACAATAACCAAGATCCCTTGATTCAATATACTCAGAATATTTTGAATCTACTTATCTGTCCCTTTACTTTTTTTTTTTTTTTTTTTTGAGCCAGTTTTACTCTGTCACCCAGGCTGAAGTACAGTGGCACGATCTTGGCTCAGTGCAACCTCTCGGGTTCAAGCTATTCTTGTGTCTCAGCCTCTCAAATAGCTAGGATTACAGGTGCATGCCACCACACCTGACTAATTTTTGTATTTTTAGTAGAGACAGAGTTTTGCCATGTTCATTAGGCTGGTCTTCAATTCCTGACTTCAGGTGATCCACATTCCTTGACCTTCCAAAGTGCTGAGATTACAGGCGTGAGCCACCATGCCTGACCCTTTATCCCCCTTTACTGATTGCTGTTCCTCTAGCTTGGGATTCTACCATCACTTGCCCAACAAGAGTAAAAGCCTTCTAATGAGCTGCTGCCTCCAGATTTCACCTTCTAACCTGTAGCCCTAATTTCAGTCTGAATGACTGTACTCAAATAATCATCCCAGTAATCCTCTCTCCTGTGCTTGACTAACGTACAGCACTTTCCCAATTTGGACCATCCTCTCAGTCTCCCATGTAAAAATATCTGCAAATTCAATTCAAATTTTTTTTTTTTTTACCCAAGATGGAGTCTTGCTCCAGGCTGGAGTGCAGCCCCAAGATCTTGGCTCACTGCAACCTCCGCCACAGCCTCCGGAGTAGCTGGGATTACAGGTTTCTGCCCAGCTAATTTTTTGTATTTTTAGTAGAGATGGGGTTTCACCATGTTGGCCAGGGTGGTCTTGAACTCCTGACCTTGTGATTCACCCACCTCAGCCTCCCAAAGTGCTGGGATTACAGGTGTGAACCACCACACCCGGCCTTAGTTTCAAAATCTACTGTTATAAACTTTCTTATACTAACCACAATTTATCAATCACTTTATCCCTCATACCCACACTCACGCTACAATATTTTACACTTAGTACATACAATCTTTCCAACATTGCACATGCCTACCTCTATTAAGAAAATATATATGACTTTAGAATTTCTCCCTATACCCAATACCTAGTAGAGTTCTTTTTTAGCAAATGCCAATAAATCATTAAAAGCTCAATACATGTATGATTCTTATAGTTATCAAGAGCACTGTCTTAGGAAAATGATAGAGCTGACTTTAAATCCTAAATCTAACATGGGTTGTGTAACCCTGCAGAAGTTACTAATTTCTCTTAAGTTCACCTTCTTCTACGTCAGGAGAGATGAAGCAGTCTGTGAAGTCTGCTACACTTGAGTGAATGGCTCAGGTAAAGCACCCCCAAGTCAACTTTATTTGGTACAGCTGAGGAGGTATAGACAAGGGAGACAGGGGGTTGTATGCAATCCTTCAGGCCTTCCTCAAGGTCAGGGGAAACCTACTTTGTTGAACATGGGCGGATGTCCTGTGGCTGTGATTCAGTAAAGAAACCCCACCCACTCACAACACCATTTTCCTTTTAACAGAGATTGCGGGAGAATGGTTTTGTATGCCTGGAGAAAATGCAATCTGATCTTGGGTCTGTGCTACTTATGAGAGCAGACAAAACCTTGCAACGGGATGCTTGTGATGATAGGAACTACAGCCTTTCTTTCTGGGGGTGTGGGGAAAAGCCAGTAGTCCTAGCTATTCCTTTGCCATGTCACTCAGAGCAAACTATACATGTTATTCAGTAGACAATTTTGCTTGTCTCCTCTGACTCCTAGAAGAGATGGCAATATTCGTGTGCCTGCCCCCAGACATTGTCATAAACAAATCAGTAGATGTTTATTCTTTATAGTCTCTGACATATATTATTTAATAAATAATGGCTATATAATATTATTTTAATATATTGCAAATCCAATGCTATGAATAAGTAGAAAATGTGAGCATGACTATGGTGTAATTGAGGTATTAAAGTCAATTTGATCAAACACACTCCCATAAGATACTCACGCCCAACCCATTCTTGGGTTATTTTCTGATTATCTGCAAGAATATTTGTCCATTAAGTTTATTACTTTTTCTCCTTTAATAATGGCTTAAAATTACACAGCCATCATTTGCCATTAACTCCTGCCATACTATGTCCCTATATGTGTTTAAGTTTGAATTTAAAATCCTATTGGCTCCTGGTGCTACCACTTTAACTATGGGTCAGTGTGAAAAGAAGATCGACCAAATACATGAACAGTATGCTCACCCCAAAGACAGCAAGTGAAGTCCCAGCAAAAAGACTTTCCAGAGAGATGCAGATCAAGAAAGGTGAGGGGACGGTTTTAGTTATCATGAGTCACAGAGCAGCAGACAACGCAAAAGAACCTGTACTTTAGTTACCACCCGTGTGGACATTATACCTGGTGCTTTAGAGCCAGCAAAACAGCATAAACAGTCTCATTAAACTGTTGCTCTTAATGTTATGTTTGTTAATATTGAGTTTATATCCTAGATTTAACGCATACTAAGTGTGTGGTATTGAACAAATTGCTTAGTGTTTCTAAGAACCTGTTTTCTCTCTAATAAACGGGTGGTTTGAGGATTAAATTATTAGTAGAATGTCTATGAAAAAATTACATGCACAATCACTGTTAGCTATTTTTACACTGTGATAGACGCATATTTTGCAAGGAGGATGCTCTGAATAAGTGGAGAATATAACCGTAAATAGGAAGCACTTTGAAATTTGTTTTACTAGTTGTCCGTCATGTGGCATGGGCTTTGCTAAGCTCTATGATCCAAAGACAAATAAGACTACTGTCTGAGTTCTAGTTTCCAGAATCAAAACTGGGGGTGGGATTTTTTTTAATGCATTATTTTACTCAGGTGTTGTATTTGTGATGTGAAGAACTAACATGCAGTAGATAAGCTGGACTGTTGAGGCCAGGAAAGCCTGCAATCAAGGTGGACAGACAGTGAGAGGTTAGTTGGTCACTGACTCATCTCTGTTATTCAACAACTAGAGGAAACGTCAACATGAGACTCTTCCTGGAGTTTGGCAAACTTGGCTGCAAATCCAGCTCTGCCACTTCCTGTCTGTGTGGCTGGAGCAAGTCAACCTCTGTAAGCTTTAGCTTACTCATTTTCAGAGTAGGTAAATGAAGTAGTTACCTAGTAATATTTATCTGAGCTATTTTGAGGAGTCATAAACTGCTTAGAATAGTGCATATAATAAGCACTAAGGAAATATTTCTAGAATTATGGAAATTCATGTTATTAATATTACTATTAGTGTTAGTGCTATTATTACTATTAATATTATATTAATACTTTTAGTATTATTCTGTAGGCCCTGGAGAAGTCAGGTCTGTCAAAGATGTTTGATGGTAGAGATGGACACTGAGAACACAACGAAACACAGGGGAAGACCCACGCAAACCATGCAACGTGATCTCTCTGTCAGAGTTTAGACAACTCACTTGATCTTTTTATGACCTGCTTTCCTTTTACGTAAAGTGAAGCAGAACTTAGCTTGGCTTACATCATAAAGTGAGAGCATATATGTTAATAAAGCATTAGTAGCTAAAAATCAATGTTTACTAGAGAAAAAAACGATATTGTGAAATTGAGCAGTCTTTGGTTCTTTTCTAGACTATTTCACATGTGAGGCTCTGAGCAAATTACTAAATCTCTTCAAACCTCACACTGTTCGTCTGATCATTGTAAATCATATTAACTAACTCACTGTTCTATAATAAAAGAGTATCTAACAGGATAATGTGACTTGAGGTGTACTATCAATAACTCTTAGGTCCCTTCCCCACAAAAAATATAGGTAATAATATGCTTCATTAAGAACAGACTAAGTGAAATCTGTGGTTTCTATCTTTTTTATGTGAAAGTATTTTAAACACATGTTATATTCTGGCAGAGGTCTCTACTTTCTCTATTAATTTATACTGAGAGCATAGCATATTTAAAAGTGAATTGGATAACACTGTTTAGGCTAAAGAGAAAAATATTTTTTCATTTTATAACAGATGACTGGTTAAACTAAATGGAACACTCTCCCTTTTATAAAACTCAGGATGCCTAAATGAAATTTCATCAAATATAACTCATGAAGGAAAGTTCTAATACTTGAAAGTTAGAATCTAGTCAATAATATTCTATTGAAATAAATGCATTAACATATATCAATGAATACCTATCTATCTATCTATCAAGTGCCTCCATCTCTGAATTAAAATGTTAAAGTCGAACACTAAAGTCAATATTGGCATGTAGGGGCACACACAAAAAAAGCTCTCCACAAAAATCATTCCTATTCTTTATATCTCTTTACACAGCTAAAAAGTCCGTTTCAGTTTGCAGTTTGGCTTTTAAAACAGCTCTTTTGAAATCGACGTCAGTGTGTTGGATAAACAAACACTCACTGTATGCACATCCAAACACTTCGATTCGCATTCCAATTCTGCCCTTGGGGTTCCATTCTAAAGGGATGAAGCGCAGAAATCTGGCTTTGATAGAAGGCTGGAGTCTATAGTACACAACACTGTCTGCATTTGCATTTCCTGAAAAACCCTACGAGAAAAGGGAAAGAAGGAAATCAATGTATATGGAGAATATCCGTTTCACTTCGTCACCTGTAATGTCTATGAGCAATGTGTTTTCTGCATTTTACTATGAATGGTGCTATCTTCTACAAGAGAATCACGTTAACATTTATGTCATGATATCTCGCCATCCACAGAAATTACTGTGGCTTAAACTTTTCTTTTTACTAGGAGAGTTGAAATTCTACCACCCCATTAAAGCAGTTTTCAACCATGATACCTTCAATGAAGATTGCTTCTGTAAAGTTTAGATTAAACATAAAAGTATACCATGTCTGTAGCACTTAACATTGTGAACAGTGCCAGAAAAAAGTGAGAAAATACTCTCCAAGGGTTGAAAAAATATTATCTGAGTCAACAAAGAAGTTGCTTACATCACTGATGAACGAATCAACTTATGACACGTTTTGCTTCTTTCACTTTTTCATCTTACTTATTAACATAAAGAAAAGTACCACCCAACATTTAAGCCACGCTACACTGTGGTAACAGGTTGTTAAACCTCAGCTGCATACTGCCATATACACACATTCAAATTGTTAAGGGAAACTAGAAACAACAATAATTTGGAAAGACCATAATTAAACTTACGGACTTTAGAATTTTTAAGCTAGAGAAATCTAGCGCAGTCAAATTGCAGATTAAACGTCACAAAGGAGAGAAAACAGAATCCTCTCGTATTTGCAACCATTATATGGCAAGACCAGGAGCTACGTTTCTTCTATAAAATCAGGATTCATCTACCTAACACGTAGCTTACCTGTAACACTCACATACTGCAGCAAAGAGAATTTGATTCTCCTCGTCAATCAATCCCCTGCCTCCTACCCTCACTCCACCAGTACCCTATACACTAAGCAACTTTTGTGTTCTTCTACACAAGACACACATTGTTAAGACTACAGGTGGAGAAGTCAGCATGAAGCAGAAGTTATTCTCAATAACTTATATTGCATTTTTATTTCTCCTCCTCCTTGTCATGGTCCTCCTCTTCCTCTCCTCCATTTCTTTCTTTCATTACAAGGGATCGTGCAACTACAATTTCAGGTTCACGATAGGTACCTTGCCCATGACTTGGTCAACAAATAAGTTCAACCTCATGTAGACTGCACAAGGCAAAGGTAAACACACTAGAAACACCAGTACCCAGAGAGTCTGACAATTCGCCTGTTTTTCTTTCTACTTCACAAATATCCCTTTACTAGCATTTACCAAAACGTTTTCTAATACATTTTTAAAAGACTGTGTGTATTATAGTTAAATTAATTTGATTTTCCTTGTCAATCAATCCCCTACCTCCAGCCCCCACCCCATCACTACCCTATATGCTAAACCTTCAAGGTCACACAACACAGGAACATCTGTGATGGCATCTCCAAATTATATCCCAAATCGAGGGATCTTTATCTCAATTATGATCACTCAGTTCAATAAAGAATCACCTCACCAGAACTACTTGATAGGCTCTTCCTGGTCTTTTTAAAAAATATATATATATTTTACTGTATTTTAGGTTTTGGGGTACATGTGAAGAACATGCAAGCTTGTTGCATAGGTACATACATGGCAATGTGGTTTGCTGCCTTCCTCCCCATCACCTATATCTGGCATTTCTCCCTATGTTATCCCTCTCCAACTCCCCACCCCCCACTGTCCCTCCCCTGTTTCTCCCCAACACAGACCCCAGAGTGTGTGATGCTCCCCTCCCTGTGTCCATGTGTTCTCATTGTTCAACTCCCGCCTATGAGTGAGAACATGCAGTGTTTGATTTTCTGTTCTTGTGTCAGTTTGCTGAGAATGATGGTTTCCAGGTTCATCCATGTCCCTACAAAGGACATGAACTCATCCTTTTTTATGGCTGCATAGTATTCCATGGTGTACATGTGCCACATTTTCCCTGTATAGTCTATCATCGATAGGCATTTGGGTTCGTTCCAAGTCTTTGCCATTGTAAACAGTGCTGCAATAAATATTTGTGTGCATGTGTCCTTATAATAGAATGATTTATATCCTTTGGATATATACCCAGTAATGGGATTGCTGGGTCAACTGGAATTTCTATTTCTAGGTCCTTGAGGAATCACCACACTGCCTTCCACAATAGTTGAAATAATTTACACTCCCACCAACAGTGTAAAAGTGTTCCCACTTCTCCACATCCTCTCCAGCAACTGTTGTCTCCAGATTTTTTAATGATCCCCATTCTAACTGGCGTCAGATGGTATCTCAATGTAGTTTTGATTTGCATTTCTCTAATGACCAGTGATGATGAGCATTTTTTCATGTTTGTTGGCCTCATGTGTGTCTTCTTTGGTCAAGTGTCTGTTCATATCCTTCACCCACTTTTGAATGGGCTGGTTTTTTACTTGTAAATCTGTTTTAGTTCTTTGTAGATTCTGGATATTAGCCCTTTGTCAGATGGGTAGATTGCAAAAATTTTTTCCCATTCTGTTGGTTGCCAATTCACTCTAATGACTGTTTCTTTTGCTGTGCAGAAGCTCTGGAGTTTCATTAGGTCCCATTTGTATATTTTGGCTTTTGTTGACAGTGCTTTTGGTGTTTGGGTCATGAAGTCCTTGTCTACTCCTATGTCCTGAACGGTTTTTCCTAGATTTTCTTCTAGGGTTTTTATAGTGTTAGGTCTTATGTTTAAGTCTTTAATCCATCTGGAGTTAATTATAGTGTAAGGTGTCAGTAAGGGGTCCAGTTTCTGCTTTCTGCACATGGCTAGCCAGTTTTCCCAACATCATTTATTAAACAGGGAATCCTTTCACCATTGCTTGTTTTTGTCAGATTTGTCAAAGATCAGATGGTTGTAGATGTGTGGCGTTGCCTCTGAAGCCTCTGTTCTGTTCCATTGGTCTACATCTCTGACTGGAAGCATTCCCTTTGAAATCTGGCACTGGACAAGGATGCCCTCTCTCACTACTCCTATTCAATATAGTATTGGAAGTTCTAGCCAGAGCAATCAATGAGGTAAGAAAAAGAAATAAACGGTATTCAATTAGGAAAGGAGGAAGTCAAATTGTCTCTATTTGTCAAATTGTCTCTATTTGCAGATGACATAATTGTATATTTAGAAGACCCCATCATCTCAGCCCAAAATCTCCTGAAACTGATAAGCAACTTCAGCAAAGTCTCAGTATACAAAATCAATGTGCACAAATCACAAGCATTCCTGTACACCAATAACAGACTTAAAGAGAGTCAAATCAAGAACAAACTGCCATTCACAATTGCTACAAAGAGAATAAAATACCTAGGAATATAACTAAGAAAGAATGTAAAGGACCTCTTCAAGGAGAATTACAAACCATTCCTCAACAAAATAAGAGAGGACACACACAGGTGGATTAACATTCCATGCTCATGGTTAGGAAGAATCAATATTGTGAAAATGGCCATACTGCCCAAATTAATTTACAGATTCAATGCTATCCCCATCAAGCTACCAATGACCTTCTCCACAGAACTGGAAAAAACCACCTTAAACTTCATATGGAACCAAAAGAGAGCCCACATAGTCAAGTCAATTGTAAGCAAAAAGAATAAAGCTGGAGGTATCACACTACCTGACATCAAACTATACTGCAAGGCTACAGTAATCAAAACAGCATGGTACTAGCTCCTGGTCTTTTTTAATATCTTGTTCTTTGCTATCACTCCCAATATCTTCCCCTGTGAGCACACAGTAACACTTGTGAAATTAAACTAAACTCTGCCATCCTCACTGCTTCCTTTACCACTTAGAACAAAATCTAAACTCCTTATCCAAACAGTCTTTAGCAACCACCTCCATTATGCTCTAACCACACTGGACTTTCTTGAAGAAGCCAAGTTTAGTCCTCTCAGGGATCTGCACCAGCAGTTCTTTCTACTCTGAAAGTCCTTTCCCCAGATCTTTGCATGCCCAGCTTCTCTTGTCATTTTAAGCCTTGACTAAAATATTACCCCCAAGACAGGTCCTTTTTGATCACAGTCTCTAAAGTACTGGTGTACTTGATACCCCCTATAAATATCTTCCTACTTTCTCTATATTTCTCATATTTTGGGGGTTTCTCTTATTTGATCATTATCTGCCTGTTTATCTTTTCCTCCTAGAAAACAAACTCTACCAAAGCAGGGAGATTTACTGCTTTCCATCTGTAATACCTAGAACATTGCTCAGCTCAAAGTGGTTCTCAATAAAATATTTGTTGAATGTTTATGTTTAGGAAAGACTTGGCTTAAAAAACAAAACAAGCTGAACAGATGTCTCAATTACAGGGCGTCTCAGGCATGTCATGTGCTAATGTGCAAATTACAGTGTATCAGCCCATGACAGGGACATTTACCTAGAACATCTCAAACATGTTACGCCACAGAACTGTCCCCCTCTGTTTTTGCTGTTGTTGCTGCTGTTGTTTTGCAGAGCACATCCAGACTAGTGTTTCCCAGAACATAAATTGGAGAACATTGTTTAATTCCATGGATATTTACACTCTGATAAGCAGACCCTTAGAAGGTTCCATTCTGTTTCAATGACTAAAATTTTTGCTGAGGTTTGGTAAGTAAGGTTAGCTGTTTTCTATATCGCACTAACCAAACTTCTTTCCCACCCAACCTCGAGAGCACTACAGTCTCAATTTCTATGGAAATCCTGATGATGTGCCTAAAAATTTGATATGTTTATTTAAATTTTTCCCTTACAATGGCTGATATGGGGCAATGTTGACCAAACAGACTGCACATTAAAACTCTCAGTGCTCAAACCCTGAGCATTGTTTCTTTTCTTTCTTTCTCTCTCTGTGTGTGTGTGTGTGTGTGTGCATGCTTATGTCTTTTTTGGGGGACAGAGGACAGAGACTCACTCTGGCACCCAGGCTGGGTGCAGTAGTGGAATCTCGGCTCACTGCAGCCTCCGCCTCCCAGGCTCAAGCGATTCTCCTGCCTCAGGCTCCCAAGTAGCTGAGATTACTAGCCCCCACC